CCCCCCATATATTCATTCCAACTGGGGAAAAAAATTGAGCAATATCACTTTCAGCCACTTGATGGCAGCAGAGTAGTAATAGTTGTATGGCATGCTGTTGGCTGTTGTATCATGTAATGGGCGAACGTGTTTATAATGACAAATTCAAAATAGTTCAAGACAGAAACAACTAGAATTTACTTTACAATTTATTGTTTTTTTTTTTCTTGAACTTTTTTGAATTTACTATGTCCCGGATGACTGAGAATCGGCCTGCATAGACTCCCCACCTTGGTTATGCTTGCAGTTTGGACCGACCGTCAATCAAGCTGCACTGTCCTGGCCAAATGCAGCTAATTTGACAATTAAAGTGCATTTATTAAGCAAATGTTAGACTGACACATATCTTTGCTATAATTTCAAGCAAACAAACAATTGTTTTTAAGTGTTGTTAAATTCTTGTTAAAGTCCTCCCGGGCACGCTCCCGTGGCCGCCATTTGGTGGCCCAACGTTTTTTGGCACAACACCGGTCCACATTTCCGGGTTGTCAGCGGTGACGCATAATAGATGCGACGTATACGGCGAAGCGACATATTTATGGATTTTTCCACTTTATTAGACAAATATGGACTGATGCGACTTATATGGCGGTGCGACACGTACGGCGGAAAATACGGTATGTCATTTATTCTGAGTGACCACAGCTCATACACACTGTCCTGAAACAAAAAGCTGCGTGAACGCCTGAATGCTGTTTCCAAACAGCAACAAGTGCCGCTGCAGACGTTCGAGCTGGAAAAGCTAGAGATGCAGCTTGTACGTACCTGGGGTGTATCTGGTACGTCATCATGACATGCTCAGGTGTGTGCTGGATCATGCTCCACAGGGAGTTCTCCACTCGAGTGTCGAAACTGCGTTTGAGCTCCGCCGGCGCCTCATGACTCTTACGAGCTTTTCTTGACGTGTCTGACGAGTCGTTGCTGGCAAAGTACTTGCTGCTGTTGCTGCTGCCTGTAATTCAAGAAGAACTCTGCAGTTTTCCATTTCTTTGAATTTCTTTTCGTCTTGCTATTAAGTAAAACTGTCCCTCCCCCCCGTCTTGCATTTAGCTTCATAGTTATTTTTTTTAATTTACTAATAACGTAAAAATAAATGTAAAGATCTGTGCAATCAAGACAAGAAGTTGTAAACTGTATCCACCAAAAAGTGTTTTGTTAATGCATAGTGAAAAGGTTTACTTCAGTTATTTTAGAACATTGTAGGTGTGTGTTTCCTTCCTTGCGTGTGAGGTGGAGGTACCATTGGAGCCAGAGCCAGATCCCATTGACCCAGTCTCTCCTGATCCAGAACCTGAGGCATTGGAGCCAGTTCCTGACCTGGCATCCTCTTGCAGCAGGAGGTCCAACAGCTCACTGGATGTAGACTGGGCATCGTGATTGCTGGATTCACAGGGAGCATCGGCCTGGACAAAAGTTTACAAGTTGGAACTAAACCTGCGACTTATCCGGTGAACAAGTGTTGGAGCATTCACTGCCCATGTGCTGGAAACAAGATGAAGGTAGAGACAACCAAACTGACCTCAGTGGCATGTTCATGGAGGCTTTCAGAGTGGTTGTGTCCAGTGCTGCCGTGCCCCTCACCCAGTTTGGGAAGTTCCTCCTGTAGCAGGTTGAGCTGTAAGGGGGAACTTGAGCGAGAGCTGGAGAATAAAGCCCGAGGCTCAGCTGCTTCTTCTTCTTCCCCGACAGAGCTAGCTCTCTGTGAGCACAGAAGGCCGGGCGAAGTCTGAGTGTGGGGGGTCGGCTGGGCTTGGAATTGAGGCTGAACAAAAGAGGCACTGTCAGGTGCAAACCCTGTCATAATGTTGGGTGCTTGGGGTACTGCGGAGGAAACGGGTGGTAGATAAATAGAGGGAAAGCCTGGAGTAAAAGTTGGATAGTTGGGTAGGATGACTGCCATGACAGGAGCCATGTAAGGGTTAACACTCTGAGCTGAAGTCATTGTATTTAAGTTGTACAAGTTCTGGACATTCTGCGGGGGCTCCATTTGAACTGGTTGTGGGCCTGGCTGGCTCTGACCCAACTGCATGATGTTAAAGTTGTAGCTGAGCTGGTCTGGAGGCTGCAACGCTGCAGGAGTTGCTCCAGGCAGCTGCTGAGGTGGGGGCAGCTGCTCAGCGCCAGGCTTTCCCATGACAGGGAAGAACGGGACCTGGAGCGGGGATGTTCGGCAGTGCGCTTCTGCCATGTGGGGGTGCGAGGACTCTGAGGAGGGCCAGGAGGAGTCAGGAACCCGGTATGGGGGCGCAGCTGGAGAGGCATAGCTGTCTGAGGAACCCTGGGGTTTGGGTCGCTTGTGCCTGAACTTTCCTCTTCGGGAGCGATTCCAACGTCTAGCACTTACTGGGCGAAGGTAGTCTCCTACAGTGGGACAGCCACAATAAAACAAAAACCTAAGTCTAATAAAAAACGTCACTTTACTTTAAAAAAGCTGCACAAATACACAGACCTGGGTGGTAGGAGTGAGCCATTGAGCTATTTTCCAGCTGCAGATAGGAGCTGTAAGGACTTTGAAGGATGCGATGACGGAATCGATCCACATATTCTTGTTCCTCTTTCTGGGTGTGAGCTGACAGCACCTCCTTGGTGAGACCTACAAACCTTCTTTCCTCTGTGGCAGGGCTTGGGGCTGGACGGACAGAGGTCACAGCAACGTCGGCAGGCTCGCTGCCCATCGGGGCGTCTTCTGGTGCTGTGGCCTCTGAAGAAAAACAAGAGGGAAAATTATTCAATAGTGTTCAAACAGATTCAAGCGCGATTAAAAACTTTACAAACTACACACAAAAAAAAATCCAATATACTGACAACAGACAGTTTACGTTTAAACACAGTTCACAACCTTTCATTATACAGTTCATTTAAATGTGACATTTACATAAACGGTTGCACAAGATCATCTCAGCAGCTTCCATGAGCCGATTCCCTCATACATGTTTGTTTATACCTGACTCGGGTTGAGGCACATGGACGATGGTGCTGCTGTACGAACACTGGCTAGTGACCGAGACAACACTCATGGCCTTAGAGGACATGGTGATGTCCGTCAGAGGTGCCCCGACAACTGCTGCAGCTGTAGGGCCCACTGACGCCTCACTGTCCAACACAACCGCTGGAAATTGAGGTGAAAATATGTTAAGACCCTGAACTTGTTTTGAACAAACTCTGAAACGTGCTCTGCATGCGTTTACCTTCGGAGCTGGTTTGAGCCATGTCGACGGCACCTGCGGGTTTGTCGTCTTCTGAAGTAGAGGATGAGGATGAAGAGGTGGCCAACGAACGAGACTCGCTCTTCCGCTTTAGGACTTGACCTGCACAGCCCTCCAAGTATCTAAATCATGCAACAATCCATAAAACGTCACAGGCCTGCAGGAACCGAGTGCTTTAATGGGTAAAAACATGTGAAGCATCATGACGAGGCCGTTTCTTCACACCTGATGATATTGTCCACACAGTTGATTTGCTGATAGGAGGGGATGTGTGTTTGCTTCCTGCTGTCACCGTTCCCTCTGGTCTCGAGGTTGGAGGCTGAGGTGGGCTGAGGTACTGCAGAAATAAAAACACATTTCAGCAAGTATCAAGTTTGGCAACCTAGAAGGTGTTTTCTTACTTTCAGTATCGTTGGGACTGCTTTACCTGAGGTGGGTTTGCCAGAAGTATTTTTGTGACTGGAATCTGGACACGTCTGTCGGCCCCAAGCCTTTGCTCGGTTTACATCAGCACATATCTGCTGCAGTGTCATCTGCAATCACACACGACGTCTCAGGAAGAGCAACATTTGCAGTAGAGTAGAGAGTGCACACTTGGCATGTAATTTGACTGGGATGTCTCACCGGCTCCCGGTGCGAGTCCTCCCACAGATTACCATTGCTGTCACTCGATGAGGTAAAGCTGATGTAGTGCTCATGAGAGCCGTTACTCCCCAAACTACCGTAACCGCTGGAGCCATTGTTGTGGACCGGCTGTGGACAAAAGACACAAGAAGTGAAGAACACTGGTGTGAACTGACACAAATATCTTTTTAGAAATGTCATCTCTTAACAAATACAGGGTTTGAACAAATTATTAATAAACATCTGCATGAAACAACACGACTGCTGAACTTTTCTTCTTTCGTGTTTTATTACTAAACGGTAAATGTGCTTGTGTCGTTTTCAGCTAATGAAATAATCACCTGCAGGAAAAGCTTATAGATTTTTGCTTGAAGATCTTTAATTTCTTCATAAGTGACTGGAACGTCTTTCGTCGTCTGAGCGGCAAACACATCCTCATTCAGAGGACTCCTGCAAACAACAGCATTGTTGTATTTAAACGACTAAATACATTTTTCTTAGAAATAAATAAATTATGGCGTTAATCGCTTTCAAAGTAAACCAGTGAATAAAACAAAAATCTAACGCGATCAAACGTCTTAGTGTCATCGTACGTACGTTCTGACTTTGTGCCGTCCGATAACGAAGGCCACCTTTCGGCTCCAAGGGTTGATGAAGCTGGACCAGCTGGTGTCCAAGGTGATGTAGTCTCCGTTCTGACAGCGCAGACGCACCGGAGAGTGCTCAAACGGAGGCTGGCCGGCGTACTTTAACACTGAAGAAGACAGAAAAGACAAACGCCAGGTGAAATCCTCACTCTCTGAAACGAACCATTTAAACGAACCGTTTCAAAATGTTTGACGACTCAAACACCGGACGCAACAACAACACAAAACTATTTATAATAAGAACTAAACCGATGTGTAAGATGTACAGTAAATGTAAACAGGACGCATTCCTTTGGGAATGATTTAAACCCTGTATTTAATTAAAAATAGCACAAAGATAAATTAAAACTTGTCGGGAGGCACGGATTTAAAAACTATCAACGCTGTAGTAAACGTAGTACGACTTTTGAAAGGTGGAGTCAATGAAAAACCACTGAACGCAACTATAAATTTAAAATAAATAACCAAATAAATCTTGAGTTTCAAGGTTTCTTTACTTTATATTTGCATTTCACATCACTTTTAAATGATTGTACAAATCGTTGCATTCTGTGGAATTTTTTTCTGAACTCCGCCCCCTGAACCGCTCACCTTTCTTATGCATGGACAGCATGAGGCCACGGTCCTCTGGGTGGATGCAGGTCAGCAACGATGTGCCAATCAGGTCCTGAGGAAGGTATCCCAGTAAAGGCACAGCCCTGTGGAAAATAACCATCACATTAGCTCACGTATCAACGGGTGATATCATTTCTGCATTATACCTGTCATCAACTTCCAGGAATATACAGCCAGGTGAGTGGGTTGTAGTGAAGATACGCTTGTCCATGGGAATCCGAGGTGCTGAGCAAAAAAAAAATCATAGAGAAAAATAAATACGTCATGAAAAAATATGCCACTTTGCTTCTAAAAGTGAGTGTGCACATGTTCAGGTGGATGTTAAAGATGACCCCTGCACCTTCATATCCAGAGATGATGCGTTCAGCTAGTGCCAGGCAGCACGGCTCCTCCTCCTCCCCTGCTCCCTGCACCTTCAGCTGGTAGGGTGTGATCCGAAACGGGTTGTACCGCATCTCCCCGTCACGATCCTTGCTGCCCCTGGAACATTTTGTTTTGCCCTCGGTGTAATTAAAAGTTAAAAAGTGACTCGCAAATTTTAAAGCACGATACACAGTTGAGCTACAAATGAAGTCACATCAATCAACTTGTTCAATTTTGGCCTCAGTCGGTAAGCTCTTCATTATGTGTGGTAACTTCATCTAAGTATATGAACAGATTAGCCATAATATTATGTCTTAAGTAGGACCACTTTGTCGTAGCACGAAATTAGCTTTGATTATTTGAGACGCTGACAAAGAACATCTGGAATATCCTGGAGTCTAGTGCCAGAACACGAGCCGCAGATCTTCTGGCCTCGTTTTGAAATCTTTGGGGATTGGGCTCGTTTCCCATCAGATTCCTTCGGAATTAGGATTAGAGAGTTTGAAGTGAAGTTAAACACAGCTAAACCACCACTAAAAAGCACTAAGCATTTGTTTGTTGCGCCTGCTACTTTCCTGATAAGCAGAACGCTGCAGCTGAATGTGACTGCTGTTCCTTGTTTTCAACATTTAGGCAGGTGCAGGTGGCAAAGTACGAATCAGGATGACGCAATTCTTTGTTTTTTCCCCCCCATCAGAACGGAAAGTGTTAATTATTATACCAAACATTCATAATTTCATGGCTGACTAGCATGAGAATAGTGTGTGAAACCAAACATAATGATTTTATTTTGACTCAATAACAAGCATATATACACATATATAAATTAAATATAGAATAACTCTACAATGTGCTTTAAAAAGTTGGTTTCAGTTCTTGTTTCTTAGACATCTACTTGTTAAAACTAAACGTTTTAGGTGATTTTTGACTAGAAGTAAATAATGTGAAAAATAGACCTTATCCTGCAGAAGAAGGACTTGACCTGAGCACTGTCAAACAAAACTCCAGCTGTAGAGACAAAGACAAGACAAAGGTAAACGACCTGATTTTAGTTTTCAGTGATTTGTTTCAACGACTCACCAGGAACACAATGTTGTACAAACTAAACGGACACAGAACCTGTTATACAAACGCTGCTAGGAGGGAAATATGTTAAAAGCTACGTTTAAACAGAAAAATCTAGAAGGAAACTAAAGACACCTGGTTTTAAACTTCATGCATGAGAACCTCTTCATGTTGGGATGTGCTGTTTAAAACGTTCAGGTGAAAAAAATGAAAATTACAGTGTCTTTAAAGTAGCTGCAGCAACAAAGAGCTATATCATTAGTGCATTTTCACAATGACGTTGTCACACGGAAAAAAGTCTCACAGGCTCTTAATAAGATTTACCAGTAAGTCATGTGAGCAAGGGGTCAAGATAATTACTCAGTCATCTTTGAGGGTTTTGTTGGTTTCTAAAAGTGTCTTCCTTTGCTACATCTGCATCTTCTAGAATCTGGTTTTCAGTTCAGTCGTTGAATTGTACCACAACCTGTTTATGCGCAGTGTGTGTTCAGGTCTCTTTCACAGCCAGACTATTAATGGTGTGACACAGTCAACACATCTCCTCCCTCTCATTTAATCATAAAACTCTTCCAAAATGCCCATGTGATATTTATGGCTCCGTTATAATTAGATACAGTTCAGTCACATTAAGATGCAACCCTTGAGTCTGAGTACATGAGACCATTTATATGATGATGAAATGTTAATGGAAAAAAAAACATGAGAGAGTGAATGGTGGGTTGTCTTGTTTATCTCTGTGTCTCTGGAGACCTGTCCAGGGTGTAACCTGCATCTTGCACAGTGACAGCTGGATATGAACAACAGCGACCCGGAAAGGAAGAAGCAGGTAAAGATAATGGAAAGATGGAAATAGATTGAAACTTTTAGGCTTTTGAGCATTTTTGCAACCCCCTTTATTTACTGTCAAGTAGGAATGCACGATATTATCGGCATGGCATCGGTATCGGACGATATTAGTGTTAAAGTTAAATATCAGACATCGGCCATTTCATCAAAATAACTCACCGATATAAAAGACGCTGTTTTTGCTTGACAACCCAGTGACAAGGATGCCTGCAGCGCCAGCACGTGATGTCATGCACGCCTACCTGATCTGATCACGGCAGAGAGGAAGAAGTCAAAATGTCGGCGATGTGGACATTTTTTTTCTGTTGAGAATGTCTACATAAAAGGTTGAATGAATGTCGGATTCCGAAGATTTTTGGACTACGTTGAGCCTCGCTACATCGTCCTCAGTCAGAGATATTTTTCCGACGTAGCCTTCCCTGAGTTACAAACTGTTATTTCCAACGTTGTTGAGACGCTAACAGCCGATAGCACATGAGTGAGTTTCACCACAGACACTTGGACGTTGTGTTAGCCCCGTTAGCATGATTAGTCTTACGGCACAATGGATAGACAAAAACTTTTAAAAGTCTGTCCTTCATGCACACGAGTGCACAGGATCCCACACTGCAGCTAGGAACCTGGAACAAGCCTCCACTAGTGAGACAGCATCGCAGATGACCAATGCTAATAAATAACATTTAACACTTTTCATTTAATATAAGTTAAAGTGGTATGCATATCATATGGCTGTTACTGAATATATGTCACCAGCTCTTACAGCTGTTGCACAATTTTTATAGCAAATAAGCCTAAATAAAAGGGCTATGTTCTGATGAAGGAAAGTATTAAAAAAATATTGATATCTGTTATCGGACAAATAAGTTTTAACATATCGGCCAAAAAAAACAATATCGTGCATCCCTACTGTCAAGTAATCATGTCTGCTTCAAAAGTTTTACACCTGAATGAAAGACTTTTTTATTTAAATATTGTCTAAATGACTTGTCCATAGGCCACACTTTTCTACACATTGGCCAAAACAGTCAGTCATTAAACAATTTATAACT